TTGATCGTTGTGTTGGATTTTTTAAAATCAATAGAATATACTATATAATAGACAAAGAGGAAGAGTAAATCGTTATAGCATCAAAATTTAACAATTATTGTATGATTTAGCTTTAAATGTCAATTGTTGTTTGATTTCAGCTTTAAACGTCAATTGTTGTATAATGTACATTTTCTAATTGTATAAAAAATGAACAATAAATATATTTGTACAAATCTTATACATATCCCAAAAATGAAATGATCAGATACTGCATGTTTTTTATATACTGTTATTGTATTTCCGGAATTTTGTATATTTTATGTATAAGTAATGACGCTTTTGTATATTTTCTGACGAAATAAATATAATTTACGGATGATCTATTTTTATAGGGGTGTTACGCGTTCTAGACAATATAAGTCCTTCGTTACACTAATTAAAAAAAAACTTTTTATAATTTACTGACCGTGGTCCTAAACTTTTTGCGCGGGAGTGTATTAACATTACAGATCATATGATCTCATTAGGATTGCGCTAAAAATAAATTCCGCAATATACCATGCAATAAAAAAGTACTGATTTCTGCGGTATTTCTGCGGTATTTTTTGTTAGTTTATGTATGTTATGCTCTAATTTAACGTTTAATCTTTACCAAATTAGGAAATTTACATTATTATATGCTGGTTGGATTTATCTGATTCGGTAAAGATCTACGATCAGCAGGCTGGGTACTTTAATTCTGCATTTTTTGCGGTTTTCCGTGAAACACAGAAAATCATCGTTCCTATGTCCATAAATGCTGAAATCCGATTATTATATGCTCAGATTAAGAATTGTAATTTAACCAATTCAAGCTCAATAATTAAAAAATTTTCGATTTGGATTTTTCCATTTAGATTTTTTTATTTACATTGGCAAAATTGACGATCTGTCTTCCAATTGTCACTCACTTCTTCATATAGTAATTATTATGAACTCGGCGCATTTTTTTTTTTTTAAAAAAAAAATAATGTATAATTTTGGTAATAACGGACCATATTTGGAGAATTCAAATAATCAGCAATTAAAAAATTCTCATAATTGGGGTACCCAATATCGCCCCAAGATTTTCAACCCACTTGTGACATAATTTGCCGCTAAAAAATTTTTGTTTCACTTCCCACCGGACACGTGAGGTGGAAATTTACTTATAAAATTATTATCTTCTCACGTGACCCATAACCAATACACTCGGACTCACATACTGCATAATTAGAGTTCCGGAACAACGGTTTCCGTTCCTATCCTAGTATTTAAGAATGGTTGTTTCTAAAAAGAAAAAACTGTTTAATTAAACTTAAGAAGGTTGTCATTTAGATTTTAAACTTTTAAAACTTAAAACGGACGGACAATAAGTTTAGGATCATCTATATACAAAAATGGCAATAAAAATTATCGGAAAAGAAAAATATGAAAAAAGAAATTCAATGCCATATAAGGAGTGAAAGATATAAATATATTGCGTAATAATTCTGATATGCTTTAAATAGGTTTTTATTTTAATTATGACTGTTTCCAAATTTAATGTAATTGTAATTTTCTAGGAACGATCATTTGTGGCTGAGATGGTTTTTTGTTGAAGATATTACGATTTTAGATTTTCCTATTTGGTCGATTCGATTTCACGTTCTATTTTGTTAATATTGACAAAAAAGAGATAATCTTATCGACAGATGGCAATTTATTATAAATACATGCCTGTTTTCATACCAATTGAAAATAAAAAAATCCTTTTCTAAAAGAATAAAAATAAAAAAATAATCAAAATGAAATTGAATCTTCTCTTGCTGGCTATGTTTGCTGTCTCTGCTTTGGCAAATCCTTTGGCAACATCACCATTTAGCCAACATTTGACAAAACGCGCTCCTCTTTGCGGCGATTTGTGTACATTTATTTGTGGAGCTTGCACATGCTCTGCTGATGGATGCGACGATAAACCTAATTGCACCAAATCTGTCCAATGCACTGGTGGTGAATGCAGCAATGTATGCACCGGTAAATGCGGAGATTGTACATTTAATTGTTCTGGATGCACTGGAACTCCTCCATTGTGTAAAGTTTGCAAACCTCTCTAGGGAATAATTAACTTTATAATAATATTATTGAAATTTTACGTTTTGATTCGTTCGTATCTTAGCGCTCAAAAATGTATTAAATATCGATGTAATTGAATTTTTACGTATTAATATGTATCTTAGTGCTCAAAAATGTATTATTTATTGTTGTAATTAAATTTTGTTGTAAATTTATCTTAGTTAAATTGGTAATTATAGTTTGTAGTATTATTATATCAATAAAGTTTCACTCAAATCGGGATTTTTATTTTTTTTATTTATTTTTTATGATAGTGATAAATGCAGTAATATCCATTGGTAAACAATGGACAATAGAAATTTTTCCATTGCGTCCATTACAGTTTCCATTGTCTATTGTTATCAATTGATCCCATAAATTCACAATATAAAGGGCATTACTATGTGTAAGTTTTTTTTATCAAACGGCAAATGCGGGAGAAACAAATTCCTCATCCATAAACTCCATAATTGAAATATTTAACAAAAAAGATTTGTATAAAATAAAAGATTTATATTGTATCTGTTATGGTAAAATAAATTTCTAGATTTATATTAAAAAAATAAAAAACTTAAAATAAAGTAATATGGTTTAAGAGTATCACTATAAATTATCTGAATAAATTATAAAAATAAAGGGTTTGCATATTAAAAGATAGTCCAATATTCAAATTTAAAGTACATTTGACATATAATATATAAATTCCGAAAAAATTTGATCTTTAATTGTCGGGATTTACTTTGGAATCGTGATTATGATTTGATATTAGTCGGGTTGGGGATTCCAAGTTTTGATATTTTTATACGGATCCCCTATTAAATAATTATAAGTTTATATATTAATAAAAAACAATGGCCACGTTTTATATTTCCATTGCTTAGCTAATCGAAAAATGAACGGCATCTTTTGTCCAGTATTTTCCGATGTCCATTGTCCAAAGTTGACAACACTGGATAAATGAGATCGAGTGAACAAATTCATGAATTAGGCCAGCGATATGAAATTACGAGATTATGCTTATTTAGCTATTTGAACTAGTTCTCAAAAGGGTCGGGCCGGATCGGTTTTCAGAGGAACCCGACCCGAGAGTGCAAATGAACTGTTAAAAATATTCGGGTCAGCATTTACATAACCCGAACCCGACTATAGTTTAACTTGGAACAACCCGGGTTTTACTGATAAGAATAATGCCGTGAAACGAATTTCAAAATGAATATTCTACCGGGTGTTTTTTATGAATTATTTATTGTATAGTATAAATACATTTTTAATGCTAGTTAATTCATCGAAATATAATTCAAATTTAACTTCAAAACCTTGATTTTAACACATACATGCACGAATTGTATATGCTTAAAAGCATCAATGTGCAACTAGATAAGCTCCACCATAAAAAACTCGCTTTGCTGGCATGATATTCATCACCAATATTATGAATCCAAGTTTATTTCTAAATAATTTTATTTTTAATCAAAAGTAAATAATAATAACTAATTTCAAAAATAATTACGAAACGTAAGATATTTACTGTTCGATGAGTTTTAACATATTTATTTATGTCAAACTTAAATTGCTTGTGTAGTACAAATTAGAATTATAATGTTTCATAAATCTTATGATACTGTAATCTTACAAAGGATTTTGACCATAATATTATGTGAAAAATATGATTTGTAATCTTATGTAAGATTTCACTATAATATTTCATAAATCTTATGAACTCATAAACTTGCATAGTTTTACAATATAATACTTTTGAAATATTACGAAAATCATAAATCTACAGAATATTACGCTGCATTTAAATTTCAGATATTATAAAATAATAATATTTTTTTTTAGAATAATAAATATATTATTTTTAAAATAGTATAATTCAATTATATATAATAATATTCTTTTTTTTTAATTATAATACAACTGTTTATTAAATTGATAATTTATTATTTATTTTACCCATATTTTTTGACATTCTTTTGCTTTAAGTAAAAAAAGTAATGAAAATATCATGACATATTTGAAATTGCCAAATATTTCACCAAAAATTTTTCTGACTATTTTAAAGTAAGTATCACACTTCAAAAATTAACTGCGTCTAAATTTGGATTTCCACAACCCTAATGATCAATTTGCTGACAATTCTAACATATCAGTTGGAATTGAATTTTTGGACTTTTTGATGATTTAGGACACCTCAATATGATAGAATATATATGTCAAAATGACCATTTCTAACATAATTAAGTGATCAATAAGCATTATTATCAGTTAAGCTGCAATAATTAGTAATCCTACCAAAAATTCTATAACTAAACTATGGGAAGAAAATTTATTATAAAAAGATGGGTTTTTCGTCTTAATTTTAGATTAGATTTAAATAGTTTTCTATTCTTTATAGGCTTATTACAGAGCGCTAGTAAAGGTAGTAATAGTTGAATTTATTTTATTATTTTTTTACATTTTTCTTAATAAATTTGATTCCTTTTATTTGTTTTAATAAAAACATTATTTAATTCTATATTCAATTATTTCGCATATGTATTTTTACTATGCTACATTATGTCTCCTAATAAATCTAATAAACCTATTAAACATAAAATCACCTTTTTATGAATTTAGAAGATAACATAAGCATTATCTTATTTTATACAACTATCATACAATAAATATTAATTGATATATAATTTTTTAAATTTAAATTCTCTCTTTTTGTAATTTAAATATATTTATAATGTTGTTCTTTCATTTAATAAGATAGACTTTTCAGATATTATTAAGGTTTTGATAGCTGTTAATAATTTATACCTTCAAGAATTAGTTAATTATTTGCAAACATATTTAATTAAAAATGAATCTGAATGAAAGGAGCATTATTTAGTTTCATTTACTAAGCAAGCTATCAATCTAATAATTTTCTAGATCTTCAGAAATTTTGTACTTATTTAATTGCTAAATCACCTGAAAATGTATTTAAGTCAATTGACTTGCCTTTTCTATCTGAAAAGTCTTTAAAATTAATAATTAAAAGAAACAATTTATAAATGAAAGAAATTGATGTTTGGGTTAATATATTAAGATAGGAACTTTTACAAAACCCATTACTTATTTCAAATCTTACAACTTGGACTGATGATGCTTTTAAAAAAATGGAAAACACCTTGTAGCATTGTTTACCATTAATCAGATTATTAATTTATCTTCTAAAAACTTTTTTTGAAGAGTTCGTTCATATAAAAAGCTTTTAAATACAACTTTATGAAAATTTATTAGTATATTACTTGGATTCAGATTGTGAAATAGATAATAATATTTTATCTCCTAGAGTTGTAAATTTGAATTCAACAAATATTGATTTAAAAATCAAAGTAGATTTTAATGATATTATAGGTTTATATTTACTATATAAATTTCAATTACTTTTAAGAAGAAGTCAGAACAGATTTACTCCTAAAATATTTTATGATATATGTGATGACTGTTATCTTCATTAAAATAAAAGGATCAGAAAAAATTATTGGTAGATACAATCTTTTAATATGAACATCTACTGCAGAATGGAATAAAACTAAAGATAGTTTTATATTTTCTTTAAAAATAAGTATAATTTTATCAAAGATGCGATTCTAACTAATGTTACAGATACAGATTATGCAATAAATAATCAAGAGATATACAAAACTATATTTTGGAAGTGATCTTAGGATATTGTTATCAGATGAAACAACAGATTATGAAAAAATTTATTATCAGCAATATTATTATATAAATAAAATAAGGGATACAGATAAATCCTTTTGATAGATCATTATGAAGTATTCCAAATGATTAGGGGTAAAACATTTATTTTATAATTTTTTAACCTTTAAATGAAAAGCAACATATATTTAACGCAAACAGAAGTTATTTATATTCTGTAGATATTTATAATAAAAGCTATTAATATTTTATTTCATAATAAAATTAAACATAATATTTTTATTCAACAATTATGGAAGTGCAGTATAATTTTTCATTATGATGATATCACAAAATATCTATAATTAAACTTTTATCATATGGAAGTTTAATAATTGCTTATTTTTTATTGATAATTTAATTTTGTAATTTTTGATGTATTTATTATTTGAATTCTTTCTTAATAATTTTTTTTTAAATAAAGTAAAATAATATTTGATATATTAATTAATTTCTATTTCGTATTTAATTTAAGTTTATGAAATCCTAATGTAAGTATCTTGTATGTATGTAAATATTAATGCTATTATTCTCTGCGTTAAAAATATTATTTGGAAATTTTCTGAAGTTTATTAAATACAATATGTCGTTAATCTATTTAAAATTGAATTATATATGATAAAGATCTTCATTATACGATATTTCAGTAATTATTATCATTAAAATTTTAATTACTATTAAGTAAATTTCTAAATCATTTTTATTAAAATCATATTCTGATCATATGTTTCAAACATAGATAAATAACCAAATATTTAAATAAAACCAAATCGAACAACGTTTTGAAATAGATTAAATTTAAATCTTTGAAAATATTATTTTAATCTCTTTACTTTCAGAAATTCATAACGTTATTTAAAAAGTAATATTTTGTAAACAACAAGTTGAATGATTGTTTTTATATGTTACATTTAAAAAGTAAAATTAACTAATAATGTAAATTTTAATTATATTGAGCTTATTTATAAACCATTTTCTTTTTAAGATTGCAGGTAAAATCCTAATCTCATTTTGGCAAATATCGAAACTTTTTGAATATAATTTTGATAGATTCATCAGGTTGACAATTTCTTTGGATTTCTGATATTAATTTGAAGTTCATTTCGTACCTAGACAGATTCTGATAAAATTTTAAAGAAAAATTTCAAGAACTTTTTCAAGTTTCCAAAAGTTATTAAAATATGCCTGAAATGAATTTTTATCAATTGTAGAAAACTTTGTCATTGTCAAAATTTATAATAATTTTAAAAATAGAAATTTTTAAATTTACAATATATTGATTTGAATTCTTTACTTTTTGCAATTAACTGTTAATAAAACTTTTTTTTTGAATTTAAACAGTTAAGAATTTAACATGTAGAATTGATATTATTAGATGAAGATGAGAAGCAAGAAATAAAAAAGCTTTTACGAAGAAGTTGAGATGCAAGTAAATTATTTGAAAAAAAAAATAGAAAAGTACATGTTATGTATTTCATTATAAACATTTTTGCGATCAAAAAATTATTAATCTCAAAATCATCTTTGAAAATATTAAATAATCTTTTATTTCTTAATTATTAATAAATACGTTAAAAGAAACAAATACATAATATCCTGAATTTATGTCTGTTTATTTTGTTAATTATATATAATAGATACTATGATATATAATATGTAGAGTATTGCAACTAAAGATATTAGAAATCATTTATTAATCAGAAGCGAAGTGAAGGACTATATATTTCTATATGTTATATTCAGATATCCGCCACTCATAAATTGATTCGATTGAGTTATAATATCAAGTTCTGAGAAATTTTTGACTAAAATTAATATCTTATTACATTTTAATCTAAAAAATTCTCAAAACTTGATTATCTTAGATCATAATCCAATTGGTTCATTTATTACATTTGTGCTCTAGATATAAAACAACAGTATTCAAAACTGTCCCTAGTATCTAACAAATTTTGTCTTATAACAGTGTATACAGTAAACTCTTGATATAACGAATTCTAGGATCTGGATATCAACTTCGTTATAAGCTTATAACGAATTTTTTAAAGAATTTAATTGGTTAGTTCACTATAGTAAAGGTAATTTTAATATATTTGATTTAAAAATTCGCTATATCAAGGGTTCGCTATATCAAGGTTTGACTGTATTCATCACAATTTGTAATTATAATAGTTCTAAAATAGGAGTTTGGTATATATTTCAGATATTTCTGTTTAATTAGATCCTATCTGAATATCATACTCCTCTGAAATTGTGGGAAAGTTAGGAACAGAAGTCTTTGAAAAAATGTAAATTATCTAACATTATAAATATTGATAGAATATAATTCTTTAATAGTAATAAAATTTTTGTAACTTGTAATAAGCTTCAGTTGACATTTGCTTTAATTCGCTCGAATTTAAGTCCTATGAATTCATAAGCTTATCCATTGTGAATAAATATTAAATGTTGTTGAATGGTAATAAATTTTCTTAAATGGAATATAGTATTACATGATAATGGTACAATATAAATAAGCGGATACTATTTTCATTTGGCTTGTTAATCAAGAACTCTGACATCAATATTTGATCCTTTAATGAAATATAAAGTATTAAATACTTATTACTATAAAAATATCAATTCAATTTAAATTAAAACTTGATATAATTACCCTTTCTGTTTTATTATAAAAGTTTTAAAATTTTTTTTAAAAAGTATCAAATTTTAATATTAAGATATTTTAACTACTATATTTTCATTTAAGTTCTCAAGACTTTACTTGACTTTATATATTAAGGCAGGCAAATTACAAATGTAAAATTCTTTATATTTGTATTTTAAAAAGATACAGCATAGCGCAGGTATTGCATTTTATTATTTATTTGAAATATATATCAAGTTTAATATTTATTTAGTTTGTTAATAATATTATAAAATAAAAAAATCTCTTATTATCATGATTATTTCTTAAGAATGAAAAATTTAATATCTATTGTGTTCATCATTATTTACGTATTCTTAAATATAAAAAAAAAAAATTAAAATTAGAATTTAATAATACATGTATTAAAATTTATATTGAAATAATTACCTATAGAAATCTTGCAATTTTCTAAAGTATTTTCACTGAAAATTTCATTTAATTTTGCAGAATAATCAATCCTTCTACTTGTATAACAAGATAATGGATGGTTTTTAATTATAGGCGCATTTTCTAATTGAATTATCTTTAGTTATAAATTAATTAATTAAAATAAATTGCTAAATTTTAAAATTTATATTACCTGGTATAGGAATTCTTTCTGTATATATACTAGAAAATTCATTCTGCCACTTAACAAAGTATCCTACTAATTCTTTAGCAGTTGGTCTATTATCAGCATTAGAATCCCAACATCTTTCCATTAATTCTGCATATTCAGGCATAGTATCTTTGACAATCTTTGGTCTTAGCCCTTTGCAAATATCTAAGGAAAGATTAAAATCATGAGGTACGCTATTAAAAGCAGGAATGCCAGAAGTCATTTCCCACATTATAATACCAAGAGAGTATATATCAGCAGCTTTTGTGAATGGTTTTCCACGCAAAACTTCAGGCGCTATATAAGGAAGTACTCCATAAATTTTATTCGATTTATTGGACTCATTAGCTGGTTTGCTTAATCCAAAATCACTAATATTTATGATATGTAAACTTTTTAAAAGTAAATTACCACTATGGAAATCACCATGTATTAAATTACAATCATGTAAAGCTGAAAGCATTCTTGTAATAGCATATAAATCCATGTATTTGTCATTTGGATTATATTTTTTTATCATTAAATTAGATCTCAAACTGCCTAAATTCATTTCCTGTAATACAACCATAACATTTAACGTTTCTGGATCTTGTGTTATTCCATATATTTTAACTGGTGCTAACCATTGATTCATAGCTAAATATAATAGCTTTATAAATTGTACTGAAACCACCTTGAGAAAGGTACCGTACATTTCTAAAATTTTGATAAGGAATCCATTCTATAAATTCTACTGATCTTCTTGCTTTCAATTGTGTATCTTGAATAAATTCATCGATAAGCCTATTTCCACTTGTCCATTTATTAAAATCTTGTTGAAATTTTATAGAATTACAATTTTGACACCAATTATACCAAGTTTTTGAATGATTGCAATCAGAACATACTCCATATACTTGATTAGTAATTTCGGTATTGCTAGCCATCTTAATTAAATTAATTACCGAATTTTTTTATTCAAAAAAGGGAGAAATTTATGGTTCATAAAAATGAGCTTATAGAGTTTAATATTCAATGGGAGTACCGCATAAATTTTCAAATTTTCGCCATTTTATAGAATTTTATGTAATGTCACACGGCTTTTTCTGCAAAATTTTTAATCTTTATATTTTTTAATCTGGAAAAGAAATAATTACACTGGTAATATATTCAACGCAAATTTAACCAAACATTATGTGATAAAGGGGAGAATGTATAGCGAAAATCATTTTTATCGATTTTTTCACAAAAAAAATTTCCAGCGAAATATTAGAGGTTCAAATACGTGGCCTGATTTTACACGCGCATAATGTAAACACACATATGTAAACAAACATTATTCGAAGGAAATTTTTTTAAAAAATGGAATTTAATCAAAAGTGGGGAGGGCATTCGTTTTATTTTATTTTTTTTTATACAAAAATATATATTAAAATACCCGTTTGGATTGACCAATAACCAATTTCAATCAAAATTTGTCACTTTATAAGCAACCTTTTAGAATATTCTTTCCATTACAGGAAGACTTCATATATTATCTTATTTGTATGTACTTTAATTTCCAATTAATATAAATGATCAGTATTTAATTATTTGCAATCTTTGTAAAAAATTAATTAATTTAATTTACTCACTTTTAGTAACATTAAATTTCCATAAGTACACAAAAAAAAAAAATTACGAAATCTGTCAGTTCAGCTATATTTAATAATTCTAATAATTTCTGTATATTTCAAATTTCAATTTCTTTTCTGTACAATTTATCTATGTTAAATTTTCTGTATTAAAAATTGAAATAACTAAACAAAAATGTATGCACCTGTACAAATTGATTGGTCACCGCATTATTCGGCTATATCGGATATGGTGACGCCACATCTAGCTTAATTCGATTACATAATACTTCGTTTTCAAACGTCAAGTGCGTGCAATACAGTAAATGATTACGTGTTGCATCTTTTAGAGCTATTTTATTTGTAAAAAATACTCATCTAAAAAAACTTTCCCAACAATTCAGGATTTTAAAAATATATTTGTTTCAATCTCAATAATTATTAAAAATTTAAAGATAAATATTCGAGAGTCAATAAAAAAAAATTGTGTTTCAGATTCAACATCCTTATGTGTGTCAATTAATAAAATGTATAATTACGTAATGTTGAATAAATTATCTATCAAAAAAAATATGCCATATTGGTCAATCTGATCACAGAGTTTCATTTACAATATATTCAGAAACAATTAAAGTAAAAATTGTAAATAAAATTATTTTATTCTTTTCTAAACCTTCAAAAAATGCATGGCCACAAAAAGTTTTACGATACCGATTTACATTTTTACTTTTTGAATAATTTTTTTTGAGATGGCTTCAAAAGCTGTTTAATATCCGCATTTTCATAAATATATTTATGAAATCTTTTACTTTTTTTGATGAGCCTTCATAGCACCTTTTCATATAAAGCTTGCATCATCACCAGCAAAGAAAATAGACATAATTATAATAATGATTCCCATTTTAGTTTTTAAAAGGTTTTTTTTTTTTTAATATGAAAGTTGAAACCTAATCATGCTTCAAAAAGTCATTGTGCAAACTAAATACAATATAGTATTTTCAACTTTAAATCATTGACATACAAGTATATTGTCTTCTTGTACGACTGAATTGCTTTATAATATTTATTAGTTGAGTACTAAATTTGGTATAAATTATTTTAATACAATTGTGGAATGTTACAAAGAATATTAATTTCTTGTTACAAAGAACAAGGTTTTTTAATTGAAAATTACTAAAATATTAATCCAAAATCGAATTTTGGTAAATGTTTTGGCGATCTCAAAACAATAATTTATACTGAAAGCGTGTGAATCAGATTTTTTGTGGCACACATTTTAATTTAAATGTATCACTATCAATTCATTTTTTTCTTTAGAAATTTTTTCTTTTTTTAAAAAAAAAAAAGAAGTGAAATAAAAAAAATTTACAACATTTTAGTGTTAAAAGAAAAATAAAATGGAATATAACTCATCGACACCGTCGACTTCTTCTGAAAATACATTAAAATTTCCCGAAGGAAATAATACAATACCTTTATTAATTATCGGAGGGGTAGCAATAGGATCAATGATTTTGCATATATTACTCACATTCATATTAAAAAAAGTAGCAAAGAAAACGGGATGGACATTTGATAATGAAGTGATCAATAATTGGTAAATATTTGTCATTCATCAACATAACTTCTTTTCTTTCTGTAACCATTTGTTTATTTGACATATTTTTTAAATCCTCTCTCTACCAATAGTTCGACACCGACATTTTTTATTTTTCCGGTAGCATCCATATTGTTAACTTTGTCATTTATATCGACAACCGTAGATGCGTCAATCATGGACCCGATAAAGCACGCCTTGGATATAATATTAATCTTATTTACAACATGGGCATCAATAGGATTTGTTAAAGCTGCCTCGATAGCCGTATCAACAAATAATGATTTCATCAAATCATCAAATAGTGTTCAATCACGTAAATTACACACTCAATTTGTAGTTACAATAAGATGTATTTATGGGTTGATATTTTGTATAGGAGCCGCTTCAATTCTTTTATCATTCCCTAGAGCATGGGAACTTGGTGCGAGTTTATTGGCAAGTGCGAGCGTGGTTGCGTTATTTGTCGGTTTGGCTGCTAAACCTTCTATGGAAAATTTGGTCGCTTCTTTACAAATTGCTTTAACGCAACCTCTCTTGCTCGATGATTACATTAAAATTGATGGACACGAGGGGATCGTTGAAGAAATTCAAGCTCAATATGTTTTAATTAAAACCTCTGATGAACGACGTGTTATCATTCCTTTATCTCGCGTTATTAATGGTTGTTTTGAAAATTACACAAAGTCGAATGAAAACATGGGAATGAACTTTGAACTTTACGTTGATTATGGTATACCTTTGGAAGATTTGAAACAATATTATCAACTTATTTTGCAAAAATCCGATAATTGGGATCATCGTGATGGCACTTTATCGATCAAAGAATGTCAAAAAACTTGTATGATATTAAAAGCTTCCATGACTGGTATGTTTGAAAGAGAAATTTCCTTTTTTTTGTTTTTTCTTTAGACGGCTACTAATTTTTTTTCTTTAGCTGCAGATGTTAAAATTGCTTTTAAATTAAAAGGGGAACTACGTGAAAAATTGGTAAAAACTTTTTCTTTCTTTTTTTTTAAAAAATTATCCTGCTTTATTATAAATGAAAGACTAATACTTTTTCTCTGAATCTACAATAGTTGGAATATATTATAACAACGTATCCGGAATATTTACCGCGTTCACGCCATCAGAATGTGGAAAAGCGTAGTGGTACTGATAGTATGAAGAGGATCGTTACTAAAATGGAAGATGCAATTTTAGAAGATACCTCTCAAGAAATTAGTGAAAAGAAACATTTCATTTTACAAGAAAAGGAATAATCCCATCACGGTGATCTCTTGGGAAGAAAAAAAGGCAAACTCGAGTTTTTAATAGTAAAGAGTTAGAACGCATTAAATTATTAATTCCATTTTTAGAATAATTTTATATTTAATTGTTACTTTAGAATGATTAAAAAGAATATGTTTTTTTATTATTATTAATATTTTTACTATAATGTGTAAATTTTTTCAGGATTAAGTAAAATTTCAGTGTGATTATTTAAGAAAATAATGGTTCTTGATCAATAAAATATTTTTTGAGCTGCGCAATACAATTGACCGCGTTCAAAATTCTAACTTCAATATATGGGAGGTGGTCAGTAGAAAAGGGGGAAATCCAAATTTTGGTCAAAATTTACATTATTGGACCACTTGGCTGATCTCGGTCATGTGCACAAAATTAGCTTAATAATTTAAAATTAACAAACATTTTCTACTGACCGCCTCCCATATATTAATCATTTCTAAAATTAATGTCGATCATTTCTAAATTCTAATTTTAGATTTTATGATCAATGTTACATAAAATTTTAAGCATTTTTATTAGCTTAATTGCTTGCTTTATTAATAAACTAATAGCATCTAAAAATTTAACAAATAAAATTTATTTAATATGAACCAAAAATCATATTTTTTATTAAAAGATTTTTGTAACTCATTTTTAATAGCATAACTTCAAATCATTCTATCTAAAGAACAATACAAAAGAAATGATATTTCAATTGAATAATATAAAATTATCCAATTGGTTAGAGACATATTAATGAATAAATAAATTCAGATTAATCAAAATTTTCTATTATAAAACTGATAAACTTTAGATTAATCTAAAAAAAATTTTTCTTTTTTTTATTATATTTTTCTATATTTATTCTCATTTTGGAAGATTTTTACTATTTTTCTTCATTTTTTTTAGAAAAATTCTTATTTTGAAAATATAGTAAGTTATTTTTTGGATAAAAATTTATTACTTTCCTTTTTTTTTCTTGTTTTTTTTAAGAAAATTCTTATTTTGAAATTAAAATAAATAAATTTTTAATGACTTTTTTGGTGAAAATTAATCATTTTCCTTCTTTTTAATTTTTTAGAAAATTTCTCATTTGGGATGAATGCTGGGAAAAAAGACCAAATCGACAAAAAAATTTTTTTTGAAATAACAAATGATCTGAATCAGATGACCAAA